GTTAAATAAAGGCAGTGCACTCATTACACATTAAACATTAAGCTTTCAATCGAATAAAAACCAATATTTAAAAAAATATTATAATACTCCTGGCTAAACTTTTGTTCGTCGATTGTATATTAATTGACTAGCGTTGACCGTTTTTAAATTTCGATTGGGTTTTTTTTTTTTATTATTTTGTGATTCGGACTCGTTCTAGAGCCCTCGGCTACTACCATAGAATACGTTTCGATTATATTGTTGGACCGCGCGAAGTGTCCTCTGAACGGTTTTCGCGTAGACGTGAACAGTCCGCGGGACTTGGGTGTTTCTCGAGGAAAACGAACCGATACGAACGTACGAAACGCTACACGTGTTGACGTCAATTAAAATTTCGACAAAAAAAAAAAAATCGCCCGAATGTCGTTAACCTATAATTCGTTTGCGCGTCGGCGATGCGTCAATTTAAAATCAATTCGTCCGGCTCCGGTTGGATTTGACGTTTCGATCGCGTTCGCCGGGACGTGATCGCGCGATGGGTCGCCCAAAAGTTCAAGGGTATGATTTGTGATTATTTATCGTAAATAAACGGTTAACGGTCGACAAATTGATATACCGCACACCAGTGCGTCTGCAAACGCGATCCGTAATTGATTGGGTCGTGGTAAATCGATCGGCCGAAGCGGTTTTACGTTCGCGGTATACTGGTCCGAAGTCAATATTCCGAACTAGGCGCCGTCCTCGGAGAGTTGCATCATCCGTCGTCCGCTGCGAATCTGTATACATGAACATATTCATATACCATATACATCGCGCGTACTAAATGTAAAAATAAAACTAAAAAAACGCCGCCGACCGTTTGGTCCGATGCCCGTGCGGGCACACTTTTGTTGTGACAAGTCGTTTTAGGGACATGTAAGTTTCTAGCGATAATTATCAGACAAACTTGACGGTTCAGAGGCCAACGAAATGATTAAGGAAACAGAACTTTTTTAGATGACTTTGCGGTCGGACAATACTATCAGTAGATGATATGTTATACGTTTATCGATGTCCGTAGAATTATAATCTGAACATTCGTAGAATTATCGTAGTCCGTCGATGAATATCAATTTTTTTAATTTTGCGTTTCATCGACGGCCGGACCGGTAACTGCTTGCGCAATGCTTCCGCACGGGTTCTAATTAATATCTATATTATAGCCAATGTGTAGTTGCTTTGGTATGCACTTCTATGATGCTCAATGCCGATTACAACGAATAATTGATAATTATTGTTTGATAAGCGTGTTATTACTGACATGATTATGCGAATCAACAAAACTAACTTACATGGTATACAATTTAAATACGATTCTACGTGAACAATATTTTTCCTGTAGAATTTCCTAAATCATTACGTAATTAGTAATTACTAATTACGTACTGTTCAATGACAAATGTTTGTATTTTATAGTTCTCATAATCGTTTTACAAAAATTAAGTAAAACGAGAAATTCCCATTTTTTCCGGTCGTTAATAACTAAAAATAATTTAACAGTGCATTAATCGAAAAACAATATTATTTTTTATAAATTGTTTGTTTTTACACTATTTTATTGCATTTTATATGCAACGTTTAACGCATTATGAATTAAAAATAGTAGTAGTTAATAGGCGTTTACCGGCTGTAAATTATAAATATTAATATGAGAGAATATCTGTTGAGCGTTAAAAGATCGTACATTTTTAATGCAATTGTGGTTACCACATACTTGTGTACAATTATTGCAGTGGGACTACGTTATTTGCATAATGAACGATGGACGATTATTATTCTTGTTGAACGGAATAATTTTTACAACTATATCAACGTAAATTTAATATATTATAATATAATAAATAATAATGAAACGTATTTTTATAGAACTGATGAAATATATACTGTGATGAACTGTTTACAATGAATGAATAAGATCAATGCCGCAATTAGGTTTTGCGGGGCCGTAGTGCAAACAATAATTTAGGGGCCTTTTAATTTGTCCACCAAAATTTAATTTATTAAGCATAATAATTTAAACGAGACAATATCAAAATTTTAATATCAACAGTTTGGTTTTAGTTAATATAAAATATTTTAAAATTAAATTTACTAGGATATTTTTAACAGTTTTATAATAATATTTACCTATACAATACAAAAATACATAAAAGTATAAAAACATTAAATTATCTATGTTCATCGGAAGCTTTCGTACAGAATAGTGAGTAGGTTAATTTAGGTTTGTTAATTCAGTATGAATTTATTACTAATCTAAACACAACAATGAACTAAATAAATGTTTACATTTTTTTTTATGTTAAATCATATTATAATTTAATAATGTGTAAAAATTTTGTCACTTTTTTTAAGATATCGTGTAATTATAATTATTTGACCGCATAATCAACGTTTTCAATTCAATTTTAAATTTAAAATGAATAGGTCCATACTATAATTTTACACTATTATTATGTTTTCGCTGCATTAAGAACAGAATGATGACAATGAAAAACTTGTTGATGAATACTAGATCTGTAATATTGGACGAGTAGAATATAAATGTGTGATAATATTCACGGTACAATATGTTATACATTATCTTTATATTATTTTCATGACGAAGTGATAACTATTTTCTCTATGTCTAAGTCGATACATTTTAAATGTATAAAAAATATTATTATTATGACTTGTGTAATTTATAATAACGGTAGTCAATATTGGTTGAAAAAATTAAAAACCTATATTCAAGTCACAACAATTGCAATTTATTGAAACGATTAAATATTTATTTTGTCAGAATTAAATTTAAAATGTAAAAGAGAAAAAGAAAAAAGTATAAAATAAGAACTTCAAATAAAGTAGATTGCGTAAGCCAAAAAAAAAAGTCTTATGTAAATAAATGACAATTTCTCATCAATGATTTATAAATTAATTAAATTGAAATCATTTACAATTTTGATAGATTCTTATAAAATGGTGTGATAAATTAATTCTATATGTAGTATGATAATTTTTAATGTGAAAAAATAATAAATAAAATCTGATACTGTTTTACGTCGACGCTGAAATAATAATATAAATGTAATGAACTGTGTGCATCAATACTTCAAAATTCTCAATATTTCAAGGATTTTTAAAGGATTCAAATCCAATAGTTAAATTTAGGACTACAGTATTTTAATCGGCCGGGAACCGACTATGGGTAAATAAAAAGAAGCACGTGCATATTATAAAATCTCAGGGATATATTGTACATTATACGTGATTGGAAATCAAATATCACGCAAATCACTTTTTCCGCGAAAATCCGGTGACCAATATGGGTTTCTTTTTTCTTTTAAACGATTACAATTCGAATAAACACTATGAAACGTATGCGAACGCAAACCCTTTTCGTTGAACATATTTCGCATTCGTATTACTAACCCGAAAGATTTGCCGGTGCGGTTTAATACATTACGACGACGTTCTTAACTGCCAAGTGGGGCGATTGTAAGCGCCGTCAAAATATCGGTTAAGATAAAAAGGTAATAAATGTTCTAATATAAACTCCGTCAGTTTTTTTTTTGTGTTTTGCCTGTAAATCCTTTCATAGTCATCTAAGAAATTAATTTTATAAAAGTCAACCGAATGTTCATATTTTTAATAAAGTTCTTACCTTGTGAGTAAAATATGATACCTTTCTTGTGATTAAAATATTTTATGTGGACAATTTTTAATTATTATTATGAATAATATGATTTTATATTATTAGATATAACGATTATTTATTAAGGTTTTGTTGTTATTATTATATTATTATAGTTTTATTTATTATGATATTATATTATATTATAATTTTTTTTTAATAATATATCATATTAATTTTATACCTATACTTGATTTTCTTCACTGGCGGAGTTAACATGAACTCAATTTTACTTGTTTTTTTTTCTGGCGAAGTTTACAATAAAAAAAAGGTACTTGTGGCGGAGTGTACATGCACCCGCCAAGACGACTGTCGTACTTGGCCGGTCCCTGCGGGACGTCAGTCGTAAGCCGGTCCCACACGACTTGTGTATTTGACGACCATCTTAATCGCGTATGTTCGTCGAATGTTCGAGTCGTTCCTACACCACTCGTAAAGCATCACGATTGACGATTGTTCGCCGAGTACACGATTTGCTCGGCACCGGCTGTACGGCTGCATCGGTTGGAAGAGACGACTGTTGTAGAACGCGTCGCGTCGACGATGTCATCGTAAACCTTAGCCCATACGCTGGATAACGTTAACCCGCAGGGTTTATTCGGAACTCGCGTCGTATGCTATCTACATGAGAAATGTATCCACCACAATTATTTGTTGGCGTTGTATGTTATCTACAATTTCCACCTCGCAATCTGTAGATTGTAGGTGTCGTTTGGGCTACTAGGCATTACAACATTAATGCAATTTTTCATATCTTCAAAAAACTAGTTAAAAAGATTCTTTGATGCATTGAATGAACGCCACCATTATTCCATTAACTGCCGTTCCAATAAGTTAGTGGAACCACGTGTTTTTGCCATATTTTACATTGACACGTCTCCACGTAAACTCTATAGATTGGATATTGGCCCCTGTTTCTGGATCAATGAAGTGGAGCTGGTGGTTTACAGTTTAATGCACATAGCCGTGGCCACTTAAATTGCTGTAAGCCTTCCATTCGTCCGAGTTGATGTTTATAATTATACGGTTGTACCTGCAATATCAGTCTCCGTACAAAGCAGATATCAACCGAAAGGTAGATGACACATAACGGGATCAAAGTACAGGTAGATAGCATACGACGCGAGTTCCGTTTATTCGTAACAAATAATCGGGTCCCAACCGGTGTACGCGGACGTGTACCGTTTTGAAACCGCCGACCATAGAATTGCGCGCGATAAAACACATAGGCGCGTTACGATCGCGCGTGGATCATGCGTAGATCGTCGGCGTGTGTTGTACTGATTCGTGCGTTTTGCGTGTTTCGCAGAGGGAAAAGCTGATGCAGGTAATGTCCAGACGGAAGAGCGACGAGGACGTGATCGTGGAACCGGGCAAGGAGAAGTTGGCCCGCGTCCTGAACCTGGTCGACCTGACGGCCCTAGGAGTTGGGTCCACGCTGGGGGTGGGCGTCTACGTGCTGGCCGGTGCCGTTGCCAAAACGGACGCCGGACCCGCCGTCGTGCTGTCGTTCATACTGGCAGCGTTCGCGTCCGCATTCGCAGGTGAGACACTCTCCCGATCGCATTACGTCGCGCTCGCCGTCCCCGCGCGGTCACATTCGATATATAATAATGACCCACTCTCTACCTTAGCATGCTAAATAATACATATGTGTATAACTGTTAAATTTAGCTACCTATAGGATTTCCCTTAGTTCCTATCAAACACCTAACCTATCTGCCATGTGTGCATATTAAATTGATTTTCAACACACGCCAATGAATTCAATTATTTAAAGAAAATATGCACTGCGCGCGGGGATCCAACGGTACGATGCGCGACCGAGATTCGTTGGACGCGGAGGTAAAAGAGCATGTTCACGGTCAGGTTTTTTATATTTTTTATTTTCGCGAACCCGATGTCCGCGTCCGGATCGTGAACCTCGGAATTCCGAACCGTCGACTTTCGACCGTCGTCGCCGCGATTAGAAATAATCGCCGTGGACATTATTCGAGTGCAGTCGAACCAACGTTTTTCCAAACGTTCCGATTGCAGTTTTCGATTGATATCCCCGTTCGATTACAACTGGACTCCGTTCGAGAAACGATTACGGTTTTTGCGTTTGATGCCGCTGCAATATCACGTGTGCACTGTGTACGCGATCGGTAACGATTGGAAAGTACGATTTCAGTGGTTCCATGACGTCTTGGACGTGCACCGCAACCACATGCGCACAAATGTACAATTTTCACGATCTTGCGACGGTTGCGTTGGACTATTTAATAGTTTAATGATTTATTTTTCGTCGCGGCGTCGTGTACACGTATATTTACGTACGTGTATATTATATATTTTTACCGAAAACCTACTCGCTTATCGATACGTCTATTTTCGGTGCAGTTGCCGCGGCGGTGGCGGCCAAGTCGCGCGTTGCGCATTGCCCACTGCGTTATTAAAATAAATGTCTCTAAATCTTTTCCAGGCCTGTGTTACGCCGAGTTCGCGGCGCGGGTGCCAAAAGCCGGGTCGGCCTACGTTTACAGCTACGTGGGCGTGGGCGAGTTCGTCGCTTTCGTCATCGGATGGAACCTGATACTCGAATACATCATAGGTAACGCATCACGTGCTCGACGCGCGTTCGTTTTCGAACCGCGCGGTGCAACGCGCGCGCCTTCCATTCCGTTTTCTCCCGTCGCCTGCGCGCCAGCTCCGGTAACGGCTACACGAGTACGGGTGTCGTGTGCGTTTTCGTGACTGACATTTTCGAAAAATGCTGAAAGACGCTTTCGTTTTCGGTCTAATCATCACGTCTCGATTTTTTTTTTTTTTTTATATTATTTAACGTTGATTCGTTAAAATTATGAGATTACTGCAGGGACGTAGGGACTAGCATTTCACGAACGACATTAAAGCAGTCGTTTATTTATTATTTAAGATTAAGTGACACCGAGGTCATCAAAGGTTAATGAGGCACAAGCATACATAAACACGGAACAATGAAGATTTCAGCGTGCATACAGTTTGCATTGTGAAGTTACTACTTATACATTGCAAGTATAGAAATATTTAAGAATAGGTATATGAGGATGTTTATACAGCGTGAAAAAAGACAGAAAATAATAGTTAGTAATGAGGAGAAAAAAAAAGAGAAAAATATTTGGTAAAATTAATTAATATTTAAAGAAAATATTTGTGGTTAGTAGGTATACTCGTATATCTTCGTTTGCTTCACATTGTCAAAGAAAAAGTCAATATAAGATAATTGTGTGATATTTCTGCGATTCAACATGCAGTTTTGTTGAATAATAACTAATCAATGATTTTGGTTATTAGTGTTAGGGTGAGCTAATGCGACAAAACTATTTTTTATAGTTCATTATTTATTATTAATTTATCGATTCAGTTTTCAATTTTACAATTAATTAATAGAAATTCGAGTATATTTCACGGCAAAGATTAATTTATTGGCAAATTACTTAGTACATTATCGAATCAATGTATTTTCCGTTGAAACGAAGTAATGGGCCTTTTGTTGGTTAAAAAAAAAGGCTTCCAGTTCATTGAATTTAAAATATACGTTTTCGTGTGTCTTTCCGCTCAGGAACAATGTTTTATTTAACCGTTTAAAATAGTGTGAAAATAAACAAATACGATTTATAAATTTGGAACTTTGAAATCAATGAAAACAAGACGCGCGGCAAAAAATAAATCATTTAAACGTCTGCAAATAAGCACCATTTGCGCTGGTGGTGATAAATTGCATTATGCTAAGGAATTCAAAGTCACGAATTAATTCCATGTATACATCGGTCGTGTTACAGGTACCGCTAGTGTCGCCAAAGGTCTCAGTAACTACATCGACGCGTTGTTTGACTACCCGATGAAAAGAACGATGCTGGAGCTTTTCCCGATGAACGTCAGCTTCTTATCCGCGTACCCTGACTTCTTGTCGTTCAGCGTTGTGTTATTACTATCAAGTGAGTTCAATAACCAAGATCTATGGTGGTGTTTTCCGACGGTTTCGATGGAAATCAATTAACAGAAAAATATTACGATTTTTACAGTATTACTGTCTTGGGGTGTGCGTGAGTCTACAATGATCAACAACGTGTTTACAGTGGTAAATTTAGCGACCGTCGCCACAGTTGTTATAACCGGACTATTTAAAGGTAAGCAATTAATCATCGGAAACCTATCGTATTGAGTTGTTACAGACCTTTTTACATCGTAAATTATTAATAAAAAAAGAATTATTAAAACAACATTTCGTGAAAACGACGAAGGCCTTGTTGTACTTATTCCGTAGAACGATGAGTACTACGACGTTTTATAACTTTCAGTGCACAGTAAAAAAGGTTTCTTGTGTATACGAGAAAATGCATTGCTAATCAATTAATAATTTCAACAATATTGCGCGTCACTCTTGGTTTTAAAATATGAATAAAACTAAATGCGACAAATATCGAAACATACGCGTTTTAAATATCATCCTAATTGCAATTTTTGGTTATTTTTTGGCTATTTTTGGCTAAAAAAGTAAAATTTAACCATAAAAATGTTTCAACGGTAAAATAATAATACGACCACGACCACATTGATTGTAATAATGAGCGATTGATCCGCGTTCTATGCGCGTGCAAGGGAAATCGAATACGAACAGTAATATCTCAACACGCGTGGGTATATACTACGAACGAATACGCGCTATAGAGATAGCCATAAACGTAATCGAACCCAATATAAGTCTCCCGAAGTGGTTAAAATTTCAGGAATCAATTCAGTGCGAATACCGTTTCGCAATGTTGTTGAAATTGTACAAAAATATTACCGTTGCACGGGTACTTGCGGGGGATGCATTTTTTCTGCAAAATCCAAGTTCCTAGTACCTTAACGGCAATTGAGTTTGTAAAATTTACAAAGGGCTTGTGAATGTTTTAAAATTATTCGACTCTACTGCTGTTTGAATTTCCAATACTAAGACCGTACAAGAGTTGTTTTTGAAAAAGCAATTAATTCCTAATCACAAACGGAACGTTGTTTAACATTTGAATTGAACTCGTTGTTGTACAAAATATAGTCACCAAAAATCAATCGTGCGGAAATGTCATCGATATCGTGTGGTGTGATATTCACCATTGACTGCACGAGATTAGAAAAAAAAAACCATTTCCTTTGAAATTTTATTTTAACTATAAAACCCCGCATAATTTCGCAGAGATTGTGAAATACGTATGATAAATATTTTTTGTTCACATATTTTTCGTCGCACGCACTACGAATAATAATAACTGACTTCGATGTTGTTTTGTTGTTATTAGTTGATCTGTACAATTGGAATATACCGAAGCAAGACCTACCGAAGAATGCGAAAGCCGGCGAAGGTGGTTTCTTACCTTATGGCTGGGCTGGAGTAACCGCGGGAGCTGCCAAATGTTTTTACGGATTTATCGGTTTCGACACAGTAGCCACAACGGGTGAGACTCTCTTTCTCCTCCTACTAAAGCAGTACCTATATAAACTATGTTGTATTGTTCGTGTACAGGAGAAGAAGCTAAACGACCAAAACGAGACATTCCGCTGGCCATCATACTCTCGCTGACCATAATCACGATTGCGTACTGCTGTATCAGTTCAGTTCTGACTCTCATGTGGCCGTACTACAGACAGGTACGATCGGTTTTAAAAAACGTAAAAATTAATGTACCGAATTAATATTCATCCGCGTGCGGTGAACAATATCTAACCACAACTTACCCTTGTCGTTTTGCGCAGGACGCCGACGCACCGTTCCCGTACGTCTATGACCATCTGGGTTGGATAACCATAAAATGGATCGTTTCCTCCGGAGCCATTTTCGCTCTGTTCACCAGGTACAGTACCGCTTCGCCCACTCCGGGTGCCCGTATTTGTAGTGTAGTGTTTAGACATTTAAATCTGTTCCGCAGTCTCATCGGCACGATGTTCCCGTTGCCGAGAATCCTGTACGCCATGGCCTGCGACGGACTCTTGTTCAGCGTGTTCTCGGACATCCATCCAAAATTCCAGACGCCTCTTTTGGCCACGTTGCTTTCCGGTCTGCTGGCAGGTAAGCAAACGCGCGAAGTCCGCAGTACGCTCTCCGAGCAGGTAACCGGGTGACAAATATCGAAGGACGAAGTATCCAACGGTCAATATTATTATAGTATTATTGTTTACGATCCTGTTTTCATAATGTTTAAGCATCAATGGCGTTTAAAATACTTGGAATGCCTCTACCATCATCATTATATTCGTCTCAAAGACGCGCGTCTTTACGTGTTATCTTTGTTGTAGATGCGTGCGCGCGTACTTAATGTACTGCACGAACGAAATCTGTTTAGATTTATTGGTTTCCTAAACAAATCATAACGTTGTCTAATAATCTAGTGTCTATCGTAATCGGCTTGTTTTACATCTCAACTGACGTTTTATTCAAAACGTTGTTCTAAATCTTTCGTGTTGGACACTTCGACCGTAGGATATTTTGTCCTAGGGCGTTTCGTCCTCTTGCGACTTGGATTGCTTCGAGAGCGGTAAGACGCATAAATCATCAACACACGCTTTTGCCCCGTAGGCGTGATGGCGGCGGTCTTCAACTTGGAACAGCTGATCGACATGATGTCCATCGGCACGCTGTTGGCCTATTCGATCGTGTGCATCTGCGTGCTGGTGTTGCGCTACAAGAACGACTCGGGTGTGGAGTTCATCATCAAGGGCACCGACGAGTCCGAGACCAGCGGCGTTTTCGAGACGGTCGTCAAGACGGTCGTCAAGTACTTCAACATATCCAACATCAAGTACGCAAACGAAGAGACCGAGAGCGCGTCCAAGATCATCACGCTGCTGTTTAGTGAGTGGACGTTGTTACGATATTTACGATATTTTACTATATATTTTATTTTTATATCTTACGATATTTACATGTGATTGTAATTGTATTCTCGCGCGCAGTCGTCACTTCTGTGGGCTTCTGCTTCAACGCTTCCCAGCAGGAGTACGTCGAGGTCAGCAGCGACATGTCGGTGTACGCGAACGCCGTGCTGACGGCCATTCTTCTTTTGCTGCTGCTGTTGCTCGCCAGGCAACCTCAGTCCAACAAAGAGTTGTCATTCAAGGTACGCATGAGTTTTTATTTTTTTTTTCAATAATCGTTCGTTCGTGTCGACAATCCGAAAAAATACGATACGGTAACGTTTTGTAACGCTCGACGGTAACTGCATTCCACTTTTTTGTTGTGCAGGTCCCGCTCGTGCCGCTCATCCCTTGCATGAGCATCACGTTGAACATTTACCTGATGATGAAGCTGGACATACACACGTGGATCCGTTTCGGCATTTGGCTGTTCCTCGGGTTGTGCATATACGTTACGTACAGTATGTCGCACAGTGTCGAGGGACGCAAGCAGACCACAGAGTCCAAGAAGAGGCCGTCCGCCATCGTTAATCCCATTTCCACCATAAAACTGTAATGGCACGTGGGCTACGGTGCGCGGCGCCGGCACGGAGGGACCGGGACATTCCGTTTCAGATGAAAAAAAACCGACTGCATATCGCGACGCGAACGACAATCGTCTGTCACGTTGTTAACAAACAGATCAATTGTTGTCCTCGAAATATGCGCACTTACCAGTATTACGTATTATATTAACAAATGTAGGATGGCTCGATATAACGAGAGAGGAATACGCTAACTCGTGTATTGGTCGTTCTAAAACTATTGTTGACAATATTTTTATGTTTATATAATATCCTCAATATTTTTACCAATGTGATATTTGTTTTTATTTTATAAAAAAAAAAAATGTACGCCTTCTTATATAAATTTGTATGTTATTAAGAACCTATGTATAATTTATAGCGGAAAAGTTTTACGGGCACGAAACGATTTTGTCGCTAGAAATTATTCTCGCTTAAAATTCTACATTTTTATATATATATATATATAGATATATATATATAGAGAGAGAGAGATAAATTAATTATGTTTTGTATTCATATGAGGATTGAAAAACAGTACCGAATGAGGATATAATATATTTTATTAATTTTAAGTTATTTCGGCAAGATAGTTTATTGCTAACCAACAAATGCGTATTATGTTTATAGTCTATTTTTAATAATCATAGTTTTGTTATGAATACAATAATACACACCTAATATTTTTTACTTGTTTACGTGTAAATATTTATTTTGTATATGTATGAATGATTTGTAAAAAATAAAAAATATAATATAATACTTTCTATATTCTATAAGTATTACGATATTCAGAGAGCAAATTGTTATTGATATTCTCGTGTATGCAAACAGTTGATGCATTAGACAAAGAATGAGATAATGTGAAAATGAGAAAGAAAATATAAATATATATAAAAACTTTCGCATTATGATGTATTTATAGTATAAATTTTATACACCTAACTATTTTTAATATGAAACTTGAATATAAAGTTTGAAAAAATTTAAAATTGTCATAAGACGTGGAAATAACTTTAAAAATCAAACTTATAAATTGACTTAAGTTTGAGCTTGAAAATACTTCCTAATTTATAACAATAATCGAATTGAGCAGTTAGATTTATGTACCCAGAAATAGATCAGATAGAGTTTTGATTAAAATCCAAATACTGCGAGATTATAATATTGAAACGACCTTGGCATATTATATAAAGGTCATATAAGTCTATGCACTTACTCTCAACAAAAATCGTCAAATAAATGGAATAGCATAATTTCAAACCCAATTTTATAAATACATGATATAATATTGCAGTATAAATAATTAAATTTTGTATAAAAAAAAAAAAAAAATCAATAAATTATGGAATTAACATAGATATCTAACAAAAACCACATTGTAATGTTCTCAATTAGTAATATGTTTAATGTTTATTAACCCTGCCATAGGCATGTCCAATTATGTTACACCAGTAGGCATGTGGCACACAATAGTGCACCAGTAAAATATCTTTTAAATTAAAAGCATTAATGACAATATTTATATTCAGTTTGATTATAAAACAATATATTTTAAGCTATTAGTTGCAATAACTATAAAAATAAAGTAAATAAAACATTAACAAATAAAAAACAAAATCGATTTCTTGCTCCGTGTCAGATTCATGACTGCTATGCGATATATTATCGCATGAATCGTCTTTAGTACCACTGTATATAAGGTTGCCATCGAGTTCATCCAACCAATTAGGAATAATATTTTCCATGTTATTATAATAAAAAAAATATATATTTCAAAAATTCAGTAATGTATTATGTAAAACGTGTGATGAATGTACTGATACGAAGATACGCGCGTGGCACACAAGAGTACTCCACAATAAACATATGATTAAAAATTAGATTCACTGTTATCAAACCTCGATGATCATAGCCAGATAACATAAGCTTATAACCATTAAGAATGTAAGTACGGTTATTTCCAATCATGTATTAACCATTACGCAGTTATCATTTATATAAAATCCGTGGCGCAACAATAGTGCACGCGCGCCTATCGTAGGGTTAACGGGAAATAACTCTTTTATTTTAATTATTAGGATTTTAACGTGTAATACATATCTGTAGGAGCTGTATTATTGATTAAGTATAGAATTTATTTAATTATTTATAACCTTTATTTTTATTTTTAATAATATATGTCAAAAACCAACTTCTGTGATGTTAGGCATATCCTCCATTTTAATCAAATTATGTTAACCCACGGTTGAAACACCATGTCAAGTATAACAATAGGAGTGGTGAAGTTGCAAATTTGAATAGTTCAGAGCTAACACTCATCAATTTAATTTGTTTGAAAAAAAAAAAAATTGACGTATTAACGACCGTTAGGATTTTAGGTACACGAATATTGAGTTGTGCATCTTTTCTGATGTAACTTCGACACCAACTATGTATACAGATGATTGTTAGTTTTCACCCAGTTTGTCGATAACTAATTTGCCGACGAACAAAAAAAAAAAAAAAATAGAGTAACTTTCCTATTCCCCAACATATTATGTTATGTTAAGTGTTAATCAAACTTGTAAAAAATTACTGAATGTTAATCGATGAATAAATGTAATTGAAACACCGGGCCTTAGTAATAAATAAAAACCATCACTTATATTAATAGACTGAAATATGTATACATAAATTATGAAAATGGAAAACAAAAATGTTAAAAATAAATTAATATATTATTAAAAATATTAATACCATAACCATTAAGAAAAAGCTAATTGTTCACCAAAATTTTAGTATAAAAGTATCTTCAAAATTATAGATAAAAATATTAAAACATTTTTCTTACCATTTAAAATACAGAAATAATAAAAATCAAATCAAATCAATTTCACTACACATATGATATATATATATATATATTCATTATGAATATAACACAATAAAATTCACAAATATGGTTTTTATGATGATACAAAATAAATTTGTTGTACGCATTTAAATTATTTAATTATTTGATAAATTTGATAAATTATTATTATTTGATAGTTCACCAAATTCATTTATATTTTACCTTTATTATATGATCTAAATTGGTGTATATCCGGGGTGGGGCTTGAGAGGAGGAGCAAAGCCCCCTTCATAACCACTAAGCCCCCTCAAAAATGTTTTGAAAAATTTTAAGAATTATTTTTTTCAAATATACATAGTACATTTCAAATATTGTGAACAATTTCATATTAGAATATTTTTTTTTAGGAAACTATTATTATCTATATGTATCTGGTCAATGAGTTCTGTTACCAATGAAATTACTTTTATATGATTTGAGAATTGCATATAGTTGTAATAAAATACCCTAAATCACTAAATAAATAATCACAAGGATGAGTACTATCAAATTTCTCATGAAATATAAATACAGTATATATAAGTTTATCATTTATAATATTAAAGTACTAAATTACCGATTTCCAAAAATTTCAAAATAATAACTCAAGAACAAAAAAGATGACAATTTAAGAAACTTTAAAAAATAAAAATAAATAATTACAATATCAATAAGGCAACAATTAACTTTTTAATTTGTTTATATATATTATACCTCACAGTTAAATGAAAAATAATCACAGACATTTATAAAAACTGATTACATGCTATAATTTAAATAATAAAAACTATTTTTTTTTTATAGGTTATAAATTAGGTGTTTACATTTTATACTTAATATAATATATACAAGAGTTTATTATTCAATAATGATAAAAAAAAAATAGAAGCAATAATAATTTATAAGTTATATTTTACTAGATATGCAACAAATAGTTAGTTAACTTTCGAAGAAAGAACAACTAAAATAGATACAATTAAGAAAATAAATAAATAAAAAATAAATACATCATTTTTATTTATAAGCTCTTTTAGTTATTTTATATAATTACTTAGTAACTAATTGAGCATTTAGTTTTCTCTTAGATACCTATTCTCCTTTATTTTTGTATTACACGGTCTAGATAAATATCCTAGCAATATGTTTCGATTGATTTAGTTTTTCATTTATGTATATTTATTTGTTCATTAATATTATTATCTATAACTTTTACGGTAATCTTATTTTCTACGATTGATTCAAGTGAATCTATTAAAGTAAAATGGATTACAATTTAAGTATTAATTATAATATAATATTATACAGGTTACAATTTATAAATAGTAATAGGTAGGTACTGATTATGTTTAAATCAAGAATGTAATTATTTTGTCCTAAAAATTTTAAGTCTATTTTTGAAGTATTAAAATATTGTTTACCTTAAAAAGATCTTTCATACCTTTAAATATTTTTCTTTTACGATTATTTGTTTTATAAATTTACCTTTGTACATTCAAGGAATAAAATCAAAATTATAGCGTAACCTAGTAAGGAAAACAATAAAATGACTGCGAGCGGTCGTATATCAGTCAATGTGTTAATAATTTTTGTCCTAAGCTTGTTTTTGTTGACTAAGTGGATATGAATTTATATTAGAGCTTTTTATTTTATATGAACTTAAGAGATACAGAAACATTAGTTATTTATTTACATGTTTGGCAATATTTCTCCCTTGTACATTTGTAAGTTGTTCCATACATCATCCTATCGTTTATATATATTTTTTTATTATGTATCGAAAGACTATTTCACTTTGTTATAGCATAATAATTTAATAATACATGGTCTACAAATTTCCTATATTATATGAACTCTGTTGCTGGTGATAAGGCCTTTAGTATTTTTATTTTTTAGACATATTGTGACTTATATCTGTTTTTAGATTCAATTCAATTACTCAGCTTTTTATTTTTTAATAATTTAAATACAATTTATTATTTAGAGTATTGATGAAGATTACATTGAAAACTTACTTCTGGCTGCTCTTATGTCTATTAAGAGAAAATCCAATGTACAAAGTAATATATTAAGAAGTATATCTGGAGAAATTTGTCAAAGAAAATTCGCCACTACTTCATCGAGCCCTGCTGCTTTCCTTGGTTTGGCACTTTTTAATATATTTGTTACTTCTTCTTTCATTATATGGAATCCTTCATCCATTTTAATCCTATTTTGTTATACGAATATTGTAGTTTTAATAAAAGTTCATATAAGTTTTAATATTGTACAATATAATAAATTGTACTCTTTATGCTCTTTATACTCTTTATGCTCTCTTATAGATGTAATTCTGTATGTAAGCAATATTAATAGAATTCATTGAATATTTATGAATAATATTATACTTATTTATATTCAGATGATGGTGATGCCTTATCCCTAGGGGAAAATGATGAAGATGTGGACGAACTCAACAAATTAATGGATATTACGGAAGCTGAAGTTAATAATGAAGATGTTGAAACGTCAAAAAAGAAAGAAGTCAATACATCCTTACAGTAAACTCCGAAAAAGATCACCAAAAAGATTGCCCAGAAGATTATCACCATTAAGGGAAAAAATCGTTCTCCGAGGAAATATTCTCCTCTAAATGATGAATATTTGAAGGAAAAGGAAAAAGTCAAACCTGTATATAAGCAAATAAAATCTAGATCAATAGATCCTTTTTTAGAAGCCAGAAAAAAAAATTTGATTCCAACAAGTTGGTTGAGCCTTGAAGCAAAAAAATTATATTAAGAAAAACTAATTCAGTTTAAGTAGCAATTCAAACTGAAAA